AGCCCAACTTCGGCTGTTATGGATTCGGACGTTATGTCAAATTTAAATTCATTGTTAAGCCCCTGAGCTGTAGATATTATTGTAAGACTAGATTACTTACGTCAATAGCTCATTGAATTTCATTTCATGTTTCAGTACATGTTTCGACACATTGTCATCCTCAGCTGAGTACTAGTGAAGTTTTTATTCACCATATGGTTTCGTCAATGTTCAATGTGTTTATTTAATTGAACATTGACGAAACCATATGGTGAATAAAAACTTCACTAGTACTCAGCTGAGGATGACAATGTGTCGAAACATGTACTGAAACATGAAATGAAATTCAATGAGCTATTGACGTAAGTAATCTAGTCTTACAAAGTTATGTCAAAGCCCAAAACATTTACGTCTGTATTCCATAAACTGATATAGACGATGATCAAAATATTTTTCAACATAATAATGACATAAGATTAGGTAGAATATAAGAATATGTGGTATATACCATGTAAAAACGAGCAGTTCTCTTAAAAAGCGCAGGACTTAAGTCCCCGAAGTTCCAGGTTCAATCCAAACGCCCAGCCAGTAGTAATGTATACAACTAGCGCCCTAGGATGTTAATGTGAAACATATTATAGGCCTACCATTTTAACTGTAGTATATGGCAGTATACAACATTCATGATAACAATTTATTTTAAAACGGGTAAATATGCCATTCTTTACCATACAGTTTTAAACACTTTTTGGGAGACAAGGATTCTTATATATATTCTTCAAATGCGATATAGCAGTAATTGCATAATATTCAATTACAATAATAATAGAATAAATAGAAAAAATATAATAAGGAAAATAAACAATTAAATTAAAGGTACAAAGTCCATTTTACACAAACGAATATTTTTAGCTGTGGTTTACGGCCATTCATTAGGAACACCGCTGCAAGCCTATTTAAGCTTGGAAATTAAGCCAACGGATTAGACCGGTCGGATATCCGCTAGAGGTTTAGGCGGAACTTTGAAGGAGCTTATTTCTCTTTAAATATACATAGAGCTGGGGAAATGCATTAGGATACTCTAGGATTTGGTGCTTTTGACTCCTTACCGTGATGTAATGGAAAGATTGAGGAAATTCTTCGTTGAGTAATCATTCTACCTTATTGAAAAAATATTGAATTCAGGCTACCAGAAACTGTTAGTACCTTATTATAAATAAATCTTATTTTCTGAAAATAAAATTGAATTCAAAATAACTTAAGCGTAGTATTTCTGGGAAAGCCCAAACATAAACTAAAACTGTTGCGTAACTATTCTCAGTAAGAAAATTTAATAAAGTAAAAGTATGAATCATGAAATTAAAATAGTTAAATTTTACACGTCATTTATACTATATTGAATAGTATATTGAAACCATATAAGACGAATTTTGTATTACTGTGTATAGATCCTTATTATCCTAAAGACTAAGTGCAAATAAACCAGGACGAAAATCTTAAGAGTTAATTAACAGATGAGTACAGGAATTGTTTTTCATAAATAGTAAAATATAAAGTTTTCATTACGTTTCCGGGTCTAAACTCAGATTTTTGATATCTTAAATCCTGGAGAAAGGCTACTAACATATTGTCTCTTGATTTTTTTCGGTAGACAATGTACTTTATTTATCCTATAAGAAGTAATCATACGAAGCGATGGCGTGAGAACTAGCATGGCCGAAGTCATCGATTGTATTTACTAGTCTCTACCTTTTCGATTGTTGGTCACAATGGGATGAAGATGAGCTTAAGTTTCAACAATTCAATTATGATAAAACTAAACTTTAGCACGAGGCCAATAAAATAATCCAGTACAGTATCGCTAGAATACAAGTACCAGTATCGCTCAAATTGATGAAATTGTACCAATGTTTTTTGGGCACCCGATGGATCATTGAATCTTGGATTAAAATACCGCACAAACGAGGAACAAAGCTATTTTAGTGGTAGAGTGAGAGGTTTATACTGGGTTACCGGGATACCGGGTTCAAATACAGTCATACAGTTATATGGGTGTGATGATACCAAGGCTTAACCTGAAGTAAACTATAATAATGTTCTAGGTAAGAGCCATGCGTCCTAGGATTTGAGGTAGAACGATAACAAATCGACAAAACTTGTAAGCTAAATTAAAATATATAACATTGCGAACTCAACACTTTTTTTAATACCAATTTTAATTTTTATCCAACCCCTAAAGCTATAACCCCTTTTACTGCTCCAGCGCGCTTTAAAACACTCGAAACACAATTCAACAGGCTGTACTGCCTTTACGTACGAAATTGAATGAAAGAAAAAGGACCGGAAAGAAGAGCCGTATTGAATTTAAAACAGAGAACACCAGTAAAACTCCCCCAGCCGTTAACAATAAGACAATCCTATAAAGGACGAGGCAGTGTTAAATTAGGGTCCCTCTCTCCGGAGGCTAGCCGCGTAGGGGGTTGTTGATGGCCCGTTTTACATGTTTCCCTCCAATATCAAGTGGAAAATCCCTCCTTTACTCCACATTTATAAACTTTTATAAAAAAGTTCCAGCCAAAACATATTTTTTTTGTTTATTTAAAAACAGGTTGGGTAGCTGATTGGTTATAGTGCTCGCCTAACAATCAAAAGGTTGCCGGTTGAATTCTTAGAAAAATCAGTAGGTTTTTGATTGTTCAAAGTGGATTCAGCTGTTCCTGATCATTGGGCTTTAAATAAATGATCCTGACTGATGAAACAGCTGATCTTACACAAGGCATCTCATTCCATTCTATACACATCCTTCGCTCATTTTTGGGATAAAGTGTGCACTTCGAGGGCGTCCTCATCTCAATAGATAATAATAATACTTAGAAGTCGAAGTAGACTATTAGAAAGTAATGCTGCTTATGCCCACAAATGTCTGTGTATCATACCCAATCATAAAATACCTTAAAGATTTCCCCAGAGCTTTAAAGGATAGAAGTAAGGTTTACCTTGCAATACGAGTAGTCTTATTAGAATTTTTTATTGATTAGTTCACATGAGAATAGTTAGAAATAACATTATCGATAGTTTTATAACCATCCATTTGTTACGTCCAACCTATTACCATTGACTATTGGATACTGAGGTAGACATCCCATCTATATAGACCAGCTGTCACAAAATGCTTTTTTATTAAAAAAAGAGCGGCGTAGTTGTGTGAGCCAGTCAGAGAATGTATTAGTGTTTCAATTTATATTTTATACCTTATTATTGGTTGCTGACCAAGTTGATGGTTCATAACAGTTGCTATAGCTCACCATAAGTCATTCCCTAAGTTTTACTTGGTAAAAAAGTTTGTGTATTCGACAGAAATTAGTAATTTAGGTCAGCGCAATCGGCGGCTCACATCAACTACGACGATTTTGATAAGAAAATCTGTCTACAAATTAAACATGGGGATGGAATGTCTATTTGTATTATAAGTCAAAGCTAATACTCTACTTGGATTAGTTTATTCACTATATGATTGCGTTGGAGAAAACGGGTTTTCAAAGTTGCAAAGGCTTAGGTTACTGTAATACATTTTTAGTCTCCCGGCGAAATAAATAGAGGGAAGTTTTTCTGTTATTTTTGTAAACACCCCAAAACTAGATGTGTTGGTTACATACCCCCTCGCCCAAGTTTTCAGATAGTTTGTTACAAAAGCATTTTAGTTTAAAGGTTTAACCTGAGGTATCTACAACACCCAACACCATATTTTATAGTGAAATTAAAAATATATAAATACCGGTACCTGAAAAATATAGTGTTCTCAAAGTCTATCATTATCTGTAAGTGTTGGAGCAGAATTTTCTTTAATTAGAAATTTTAATTTATTAGAAACACTCAACACCTCAACTAGTTAGTTCATAATATTTCACTTGATTATGAGCCGACGTCACACTATGGGAGATGTTTCTTCATGGCACTTATTGCCCTAATGATTATAAAATGAAGACTAATGGTCCAGCAACTATTTGGAGTTTGGACTAGTTTCGTCAACTAACCTAATTGATTTACCCTAACCCACTTATCATCACGGTTTCGTTTTAGTTTTGTTGTTTCGAGCTCGGGATTGTTTTTTCACATTACTTCTTGCTAGACTTAAGGGTTGCGGCATTATCAGATAAAATCCATTGGTGAAATCCCGCCAAATTACAAATGGATTACCAAGTGATAATGCCGCAACCCCTAGGTCTAGCCTGAAGTAATGTGAAAAACAATCCCAGGCTCGTGCCTATCGTCCTACGACAAAAAAAGTATCGTAATTATGATTTGACGTTATACTTTACGAGGAATCAGTAAAAATAATCTTTTACGAATATAAGAAAATGTAGCCTACACATGTTTGAAAAATACATCTTAGTTTTGTTATATAAGAATAAATGGACTTAAATGCATTGCCACAAAGTAATAATGTTAGGTACTAAATTTATGTTGTAAAAAATAGGATTATTTTAACTCAGCTGACTTTTGTTTGATTATGTTGTATGGAATTAGATTATGATTGTTAAAATCTAAGTACTGGTAGATTGTAAGTTTTCGAAAAGCAGCAAAATCTAATTTTATAGATTTCTATTCACTGTAGATGTAGATTCTCAGAGATAAACATAAAGTACTGTGATAATTAAATAAATGAAAATATTTTTCTAAATTTGTTCAAGCCATTGAATGTTGATACTGCTTCATGAAGTTACTTAATTTTTTTTATTTTTATTTACAATCATCGTTAGGAAAAGTAAATGCAATGCAGACCAACCCCACGATGTATTTCTTTTCTAATCCAATCATAAATACCCGACTCTCACAATACAAATCCTTTTTCCTAATAAAGAAACATCTTCCCAAAGCAAAAGATTTAACAACGTCGTAACGAGATGAACGAAAATACGGCAGAGACGATCAAAATCGCAATAACAAGCCCATTAAATCTTCCGAGAATATATTTCAGCTTTTTAAAGCATTACCCTAACGATAAACATTTAAAATCTTACCTCCAGGGGTAGATAGAATATCCATCTAATTAAAAAGTTCCAGTCTTTATACACTTGTTCAGCACTAACACTGTAGTTTCATTGTTAACGACACTGACCTACACTGAGTGATAACGTTTATCACTTCAATAGGTTCGCACTCACTATAGAGGATACAACAGGCAACGCCAAAGCGGGGAAATACACCGGTCGATGAAACGGCGAGGGGAGAACGAAACCCTCACTCCGCACACTTCCCGACTCAACTGACAACGACAGTGATATAGTGGGCGGTGGGAGCTCCACTGCTGCCACCCCCCGACGCGAAAATACCCTGCGAAAAAAAACTAATAACGTAAAAACACCGTCACAGTCTACAATGGGTTTCACCGACGATAAACAACATGGCGATTTAACTATTCAATTAGACGGTTGCTTGTTTTATTGCGGTATTAACGGGGGTTATCTGGGATCAGGTGTTAATAAATGTGCTGGAAACTGTTTTGTTTTTGTAGTTTTTATCGTTTTATCAACATGTTTTGTGGTGGGTACAATGGGTGTGTTTAAAATCTGTTGCAGGATCACGATAGTAATATGTTTTGGGGTTGGGAAATCAGAATTAGTATACTGACATTTGTGATAATTTCTTTTGTATTTTGCAAATATAAGTAGTTAATTCTGGGAATTTTATTAAAAATAAAATTCCATTAAAAAAAATATATATATTTTCCTACAGTCACCCGACAAAGTGGGCTTCCTTGCACAGCTTATGGTACAGAAAGCCTTACTTTGGCGCCCTGTTTTTACTTTGGAGTGCAATTTTTACTTTGGCGCACACCAGTGAGCCGTGACTAATTCCACCGGGCGAATGTCACGACTCATGATCAATGGTTCAAGTGTTTTTTTTATAGTAGGCTAGTTCAGTGTTTCTCACTCCACGACCCCGAACAAGGCTGTGGGTTTTGTTCTTATTACTCCCACCGCCGACGATTCAGAGGCTCCGAGACTTTCGTTAGCGCTGCATCGGCATAAATTTTGCATCGTCTTTCATCTTAATTTTGTAGTATGTTTGCGTTGTATTTTTGCCTTTTCCTTACTTGTGTGAAGATATTCTCTACTATGCAGTAAATTAAGAGCGCCCAGCGCGCTTGATGGGGCCCGTGAGGAGGAACATGGAGTACCGGTAGTCTGCATCAGCCTTGGCGGAGTGGGAATTACAACTCTTGGCCACCCCTGGATCTTGGCCCCCCTCTTCCGTCATGCCTGCTTCCCCTCCGGTGCTGCTCGCCCAGAAACATGAACTAGTACCGCAAATTCCGCAAGTTTTAGGCCTAATTAATTATTGCTAACCACCGTCCTGGACTTGGAGATTTCGTTACCTATTTGTTAATTTGTGCACAGAGATTTATTAATTGTTTTTCTTTTTAAATTTTAAATTCTTTAGCCTAGGCTACTTGTTGATCTTTTTTAAATTTTATAATTTTATTAAATATTCTATTGTATTCTAATTTGGGGCCCCTAAAGTTTCTATAGTTACCAGATGAAATGAATTTATTAAAAGAGTCATTATATATATCATGTTGTAATTTGTTAATTTAAAGTTTTTTGAAAGGTAAAAGCTAGTAAGATTTATTTTTGAAATTTAGCCTATTTGAAAATGATTAATGAAATAATTGTAAGTTAGTAGGGTAAACGGGTATCAAAATTTTTAAAGTTTAATTGAGAGTATTTAATTCATGTATTATTGTTAATTATTGTTGTTGATGTTATTGTTGTGTTATTTTTTTAAATGGTTAATTACAGCTCGTTTCTCTCAAATGGCGTGTTGTTCTTGAGCCTCCATCCATGGTTCTCATTTTATGTAAAGTTTTGTGAGCCGCTCCTCGGGCCTGCGCATGGATCACGCTTCCTTTTCGTTAGTCTGGGTGCAGGCGCGAGGGCATGGTTCATCTGGTAGCAGAGCGTGGTTAGTGGGTTGCGTCCTGGGTGCCTTGTCGTGAAACTTGGTTTCACGACTCGGATACTTAGAGATGCGATCACTGTCCGCGTTCTGTTTTTTGTTTTGTTTTGAAGAGCCGTGGATGGATTGGTTTCTTGGAAATGTTCTGGCCTGGCAGTTTTGGAAAAAGGTCTTGTTGTTGTTGTGGTGGGGCGTAAACACATTTTTATTAGGAGCTCGCCCTTTGGCCGAGGCACCGGGTGGAATCGGTGGTAATGACTTGCATCCTTCGGGAGCAAGAGTGTCAAAAGCATGGTCATGTGTAAAAAAAAAAAAAAAAAAAAAAAAAAAAAAAAAAAAAAAAAAAAGGTTTGTGTGTACCCCCCATCACACAAGTGTTAGGTGTTGTCTAGTGTATGTATCGGTGTATGTTTGTGTGTGTGTACGTTCGTGGGTCATTTGTTGTTGTTTTTTCTTGCGGTACTTGCGGTATGAATGGGCAGGTTCTTCTTTTGGGCCCCATCAGGTGCGTAGGCATCAACGTCCAGAAGCCTTAGGAATTAAATTTCTGTGTTTGTTTTGTGAAAAAATTTTGTTGGCTGTTATTTTGAGTCAAGTGCTGGTTGAGACTCGGTATGGCGTCAATTGTGCCGGAATATTTGAGGAAGCCGGAGCTGGTGTACGAGGTGCGGTCCCGGGGGGAAACTCCTGGAACTGATGTACGCACTTTGCGTACACAGTTCAGACAAATTGCTAGCATGCCTCAAGCTTGGGTTGAGTCGCTCAGTTTGGATGAGGAACTGGAGGCATGTAAAGAGAGGATGGAAGAGCTAAGTGGGGAAATTGATAGTTGGAGTAGTTTGCCTATGGGCTCAGCTAAGAGTTCGGCTATCACACAGCTGACGCACTGGCGTAAGCGTCTGCTCTTGGTTTCAGGGCAACCTGAAATCCAAGATGAGGACAAGAGCTGGGTGGAAGCCAGAATTCTTGAGCTGGAAGGAATTTTGGAGAGTATTAAGGCAGGAAAGTCTGTCAAGGAGAAAGTTGAAATTTTTGAAGACAACCGTTCTTCGGAAACTTCAAACGAAGTGCCAAAGTCTGTTGTTGAAGTTGTGGCTCCAGTGGGTACCCCCCAGGCTCCGCCTACGCCAAGTACACTGCTCCGGTTGCCTGCAAATGTTCAAATGTCAAATGCAAATGTCACACCGTCCCCCTCTCACACGTCCACCTTGGCTGCGGCTACACTGAATGTCCAGTCCCCATCTCCCTTTCCTTCTCAAGTTCATAGTTCCCCTTCCATCTCTAACTCCTTTGGCAAACTTCCCCATCCCCTTGCCTCTGTCCTGAGTGGTTTCCGGCCGGTGGACGGGTTAGATGTGAATGGTCTTTGTTTTTTTCTGGAGAGTGTTTTGCGCATGCGTGAATACCCTGGCATGTCAGACGCAACTTTGATGGAACTCATTGCTCCATACTGTCTGAAACCGTTGGGGGACAGATTGCTTGATTGTTTGCGCAGAGGCGTCACCTTTGATGTTTTCCATAAAGAAGTTTTGGAGCTTTTCATGCCCCGTCGGGTCATGGAGAAGCTGAAAGTTGAGAGAGTTTTTCGTCCTCAGCAGCCAGCCGAGTCTCTCAGCCAGTACGTGGGGGACATTCGCACGGTGGAAAGGGTCTTGCGTTTGGGGATCAGTGAGCTTGAGCTCATTGACATTGTGCTTCAGGGGTTGAAGCCTGAGGAACGCTCCCGTCTGGTTTTTGCACCACGGCCTTCTTCTTTTGCGGATCTGGACAGACTTTCCATCCTTTCGAGATCTGTCCAGGACGCTGATTTTCAGAGAGACCAAGCGGCGGGGCATCTTCCCCTAGCTGGTCATCATGCTGTCGTAGCACCCGTGGGAGTGTTGGGTCCTGAACCGCCGCAGTGGCAGAGGCAACCTGTTGTTTGTTTTGGTTGTGAGCAACCAGGTCACATTCGGCGGCATTGCCGTCAAGGTGGAAATTTTGGACGTGGTCCAAAAAACTAGTTTGCTCACAGGAGGAAAAATTGCCCAATCCTTCCTGTGAGGTTGTTGGTGATAATGTAAAGGGCAATAATTTGAATGTTTTTTCAAGTAAGTCAAAGTCTAAGTTAAAGTCAGTTAATGTTTCTGTTGCCTCCCCTTCTGGGAGTGTTGTGCCTGTGACCGAGCCTCTGCTGCGGGGGATTGCGGGCCTTGCTACCATGGGCGTGAAAGCGGCGCGCTCAACTTGCCCACGTCTCAACATCTTCATAGGTTCCACGGTGCAGAAGGCCCTAGTGGATTCTGGGTCAGCCCGTTGCCTCATTTCCTTGTCCCTTTTTGAAAACCTTGAATCGTCTGGGCTTATCAAGCAAGTTGAGCGAAAAACCCCTATCTGCTGGACTGCGTCAAATTCACCCCTTCCCATCATCTATGAAGCCCGTTTCAAGTTCAAAATTGAACATTTTTCTTGGGTTTGGAGTTTTTGGGTGGCTAAGGACCTTTGTTTCCCTGTCATTTTAGGAGCGGATTTTATCAAGCACACTGGCCTAATTTTGGATTTAGGCAGAGGTCAGTGTTTTTTCCGATTTGCGAGGCGGGTATTAATATCTTTTGCTGATGAAATTGGTGGTGGTGCTGCGGTAGTCGAGCCTGAGATACCCAGCAAGCCAACAATTGATCCGTTAGGGCATCTGACTACTTGCGAGGCTGAAGCCATCAGAACCTTGTGTTCTCGTTTCCCAGATGTGCTGACGCCAAAGCTTGGAGTCACTAACCTGTTGGAGTACGAGATTCGTCTAACAGATACCCGTCCCGTTCGCTCTCACCCATACAAATTAGCTCCACCCAAAATGGAAACTCTCAGAAAAATCATTGACGAACTTCTGGAAAATGGTGTCATTGAACCTTCCCGTTCGAGCTACGCTAGTCCAGCCTTTCTCGTCCCAAAACCCAATGGCAAGTCCCGAATGGTTTTGGACTATCGCAAATTGAATGCGCAAATTGAAATCGACTCTGTGCCTCTCCCCGATTTGCATTCTGCGTTTGATTGGTTCGGTAAGGCCAAGTATTTTTCTGTTTTTGATCTGAATCAGGCCTATCATCAGATTCCTTTGAAACCTGAGTCTCGACCTCTCACTGCTTTCTGCGTTCCGTGGAATTTGTATCAGTTCACAAGAGTTCCGATGGGTCTTGCTGTGGGGGCCCAGACTCTCACCAGACTCCTTGATTCCATCTTTCATGATGTCAAGTTCAAGTTTGTGTTCAATTACCTCGACGATCTCTTGGTGTACAGTGAGAGCTTCGAAGATCACC